CTCCAACTTAATGTCGGGCTTTTTGTCGCAAGAATTGGCGTGATAGCCATTGGTCTTTTCACACTTGTCACACTTAGTAAGAAAGTGTGCACAGGTGGGTGCATGTCTGCCATTCCAATAATCGTTAGGGGTCCATTGGTACATGTCATACCCACACTGTGCGTCGGCACATTTCTTAATCTCCTTGAATAGGGGTTCCTTGTCCTTCGTCCCCGCGCGTGCCCGTATTTTGGGTCGCGTTGATTCAGTGAAGTCGCGAGCACGTGTCTGGTTAGAACGCGTCTGATAAGGTTTATCATCTGACGTCTGGCGTGAGAGGTATCCTTGATCAGGGAGCTCGCGCTGTTGCTTATTTACCGCCTTTATTTCGAGGTTACTCGGTGTGCGGGGAAAAGAGTGGATACAGTATCATAAAATTGTTCCCACGTAAGTCGGGATAGATGAAACTTTGTTTCATGGCCCTTGTCTCGAGCCTCAGTTGCGTATTTACGTCGCAACTCGGTGTACAGACCTTCACGGTCGTTGTTCTCTATGTTCTTACAGAAAACATGCACAACCAGGAACTCGTACCATCGCTGCGTCTTGTCCTTTGTTATATCTGGACATTTAAGGTCAGCATCAAGTTTCAGAATGTAACTCTGAATAGGAGTACTCTCAACTGGTTCAGTTAAGATTACACTCAGTACTGGACTGCGCATATCCTTGCTTAATAAGGACGTAACCAACCAACACACAGCTGGCCAGTCACGACAAATGTCTAGCTCATGCTGGTGTCGCTGCAGGATCAAGTAACTTGTTCCTGTAGGGTCAAATGATTGCATTAAAGCAGAAATTCATTGTTGGGGAGCGATATCATTCGTCTCCAGCATGACCGTAAACGCATTAAGCGTACGGGCTAGCGTGTCGAGGTCATGGTTGTTTATAAAATCGACCTGCTTGCTGTTGGCATCCCAGTTCGACTTAAGTCTGTCAAGTCGACTGATCTGTCCCTTATACTTCTGGTTATCCCGGTGGTCTTGCCCACGTTGGGCCTGAAGTAGCTGATCGATGCGCTTCTGCTTGATCGCGATCATATTAGCACGGTGCCCGTCATGGGCGATTTCTATTTTAATGGTGTGATCGTCAACCGATTTATTAAGTTCGGTCACCTCGTCAGAGTGGAAATCCTCTGCGGGCTGGTGTAATGCGGTGCGATCGAAGCGATTAAATTCGACATCGTTAATACGTTTACGGGAGTGTTTATTACCCCTTGTAAAGTCCATGGTCGAGGCCTTTCGGTGCCCTGTTCCTTGGATAGTAGTTGGTAATATAATCTTGGGTGATTCATGTGCCTGGATGACATACCCAGTCTTAACTGGTTTCCGACGATTGTCATCCCAGTTGGGTAAAGGTGGCGGAGTATTTTTACCTGCCTCTGGGTCTATAATACCATCAAGGACGGGCGACTCATGGCCGGGCGTTAGAACAGGCGAATAATTAGCCTGGAGTTCTGGTGGTAGTACCTCGTAAGGTATAGATATGCTGAGCACATCTGGTTCAACTGTCACAGGTGTAGCGCTCAAGCCTTTACGCTGATGTTCTGTCCACTTCTGTAGGGCTTCAGTAGTGTCCGGAGAAACATGCGCGCGTAAGTGCTGTGCATGATTTCCTGATCCATACATTCGATCTACATGTTCAACAGTCATGCCTTTCATAAGGGCGGCTAACTGATTCTTAAGATCAGTGTTTTCAGTAGTTAACTTACTTATGCACGTTGGTTCAGTGGTCTCGGACGTAGATTCGGGGTTGCCTCTTGAGCTTGCCTCCTCTTCTGGTTCCGTTATAAGTACCTTCTGAGATTCGTCTTTGTCCCCTAGAATTGGGGACTTTTCTTTCTGAGTTTCGTCAGAAGGTTGGTCCGGGCGTCTTGAGACGTGTCCCTTGTCTCATTTCTTGGCTTCGTAAATGCAAGCTTTGAAGTTGAGGCAATAGTTGGCCCTCGGGCTCTATCTGTAGGAGTAGTTTCCTTAATCGGAGTGGCTACATCTTTATCCGAGGCATTGTCCTGACTATTATTGTCGGAGACAAGTGCTTCGGCTACGGTGCGGTTAAACGCATCGGCAGCAGCTGCGGTTGCTTCTGCGGCAGCGGTAACTGCTGCAGCGTTAGTGGCTTCTCTTTCCATCTTTTTACGTTCGGCCTTGCGTTTCTTTGCAGGCGTATTGTCTTTCTTTGTCATAATCTTAACTTATGACTTCAGTCTTATTCTCCTAAGGAATGACTGTGCTTTAGGAAAAAAATTCGTGGTAGTTATTTACCTTTACGTTTAAGTAGTCTAAGTAATTAATACATTAGCCAACTTTAAAATGTGTAAGATTTGGTCTATCAAGGCGATATTAACGCCTTAAAGTAATTAAACGCTTAGGTTAAGTCTAAGACACATCCATTAAACCCATGAACAAACACATCCATTGAACCCATCAACAAAACACATCATTAAAACCATTAACAAACACATCCATTAAACCCAGTAACAAACACACACTTTCAACCCATCAACAGACACATTTCTTGAAATAATGAACAAACATATCCTTTAAACCCATTAACAAAACACATCCATTAAAACCATTAACAAACACATCCATTAAACTCAATAACAAACACATCCATTAAAACCATTAACAAAAACATTCATAAAACCCATTAACACATCCATTAAAACCATTAACAAACACATCCATTAAACTCAATAACTAACACATCCATTAAAACCATTAACAAAAACATTCATAGAACCCATTAACAAAACACATCCTTTAAACCCATGAACAAACACATCCATTGAACCCATTAACAAATCACATCCATTACAACTATTAACGAACACATCCATCAAACCCATTAACAAACACATCCTTTCAACCTAGTAACAAACACATAATTTCAACCGATCAACAGACACATCCATTAAAACAATGAACAAATACATCCTTTAAACCCATCAACAAAACACATCCATTAAACCTATTAACAAAACGCATCCATTAAATCAATTAACGAACACATCCATCAAACCTATTAACAAACACATCCTCTCAACCTAGTAACAAACACATACTATCAACCCATCAACAGACACATCCATTAAAACAATGAACACACATCCTTTCAACTCATCGACACACATACACATCCAAAAACAACGAACAAACACATCATTTAAACCCATAAAAAACCCCATACTTTCAAAAACCCATTAACAAACACAGACTTTCAACCCATCAACAGACACATACATTAAAACAATGAACAAACACATCCTTTAAACCCATCAACAAAACATATCCATTAAAAACATTAACAAACACATCCATTAAACCCATTAAAAAACATATACTTTCAACCCATCAATAGACATATCCATTATAACAATGAACAAATACGTCCTTTAAACCCATCAACAAACACTTCCATTGAAACCATTAACAAACAAATACATTGAACCCATTAACAAACACAGACTTTCAACCCATCAACAGACGCATCCATTGAAACAATGAACAAACACATCCTTTAAACCCATCAACCAAACACATCCATTAAAACCAGTAACAAACACATCCATTAAACCCATTAACAAACATATTCTTTCAACCCATCGACAGACACATCCTTTGAAGTATTATTCATCAGGTGAATTTGGTGGCTATTTTAATGATCCATCTCTAAAACCCTAAACTCTAAGGCACTAACTAAAAAACCTAACCCTAAAACCATAAACCTAAGGCACTAAAAAACCAACCCTAAAACCCTAAACCCTAAGGCACTAAACAACCTAACCCTAAAACCCTACGGATGAAGTGATATAAAAACATTTCTTATCTGTACCCACATATACACAAATCCAGCATGTCATGTTGTTTATTGATAATAAATGTACTTGATAGCGCTGATGTAATATGCGCTTTCTTTTTTGGTGTCGGGTGATTCTCGGGCGATCGTTCGAAATTGTTCTTTGTGTGTCAAATTAATACCATCGCTGCATATATGTTCGAAAGTGGTAGAAAGGTATTTTTTTTTCTCACTTCGTATCAGCATTGTGTAGAAATATATACACTCTGAGGCTACTGAGTCTGAAACCCGATTTACTGTTTGCGTCCAAGTCGCTCTCGAGGCTTTCGCCGAGTCAGGTATTCGTGTGACAGTATATATATATATATAGCCTTCGCCGCGTGCGATGCAGCGATCCTTATAGTTAACAATACCCAGTTCACAGTATAACACGGTGTTTGTTTTCCAAGTACACACTATTTCTGTGCTGTTTCGTGTATAATCTAGTGATTTCAAGTGCACTTTATTTATTTGCTCTCTCGCGTTCACCGCCCGAATCGCAATCGCTCTCGTCACAGTCAAACGACTCGCCACGATAGGAATACGTAGGTGGGTCGGTTACAGGTTGTTGTGGCAACGACGTACGCACACGCGGAGTCCTGTGTTGTTGACTACGAAGAGACTGCACCGTGCCAGACAACGTCCTCCTGCAACTCGTACGCTCTGAGCTTGACTCCGGTGTCCCCTCGGCCAAGTGTAGGCTGATATCCGTCCTCACCTCTGCAGACTCGGACTCTGCACTCCCACGCGTGCCGGTGCTTGTATTGCTGCCTGCTCTGCCGTGTGTCTGTGGTTCTCTCTCTGTGTGGGGATGGATCGGTGATACTTCTGGCATATTGGTTCGTGGCTGTGCCTGGTGACTGTTAGGTGCGACCACCTTGGTTCCCAGCCCTGACGAGCTCCGCTGCAGTGTGGAGGAGTGTGATCTGGGTTTGGGGCTGATTGCCCGAGCGACGACCGGTGAGATGCCCGTTGGTGTTGACACAGGCATTGGCTTGGTAGAGTGTGCGTGTGCGTGTATGTGCGTATGTGATTGTGAGTCAGGATGCATCGGCGTACGTAGAGAGGTGTGTTGTGTGTGTGCGGTTCGGGGCAGGTCTGGCGCCAGCAGGTCATCCTCCCACACCATATTCAGCGTGTGTGTCTGGGGAAGGCCACCCGTCGATTTCAAACTATCCACAGCACCGTGAAGGTGTGTTGCTGTAGCGATTGTTGAGCCGTGTACGTCCGTGTCCGGTCCTCGCAGACTGTTCTGGGGCGGCCCTAATTCCTCTGGGTCCTGGGTGCGGGGTCTGGTCTGAGGCTGGGCGTGTAGTTCCTCCTGGGCTTTACTGGCCGAACCCCCTGAGCTGCAATGGTCCGATATGACGTGCGCCACAAAAGCGGGATGGTTGGCGAATTGGCGGTCGCAGTTGTCCCACTTGCACGTTCGCTTTGTGTTGCGATCGAACGACAGGAAGTTGACCATCTGGTTGAAGTATTCCTCCTGGTGAGGTGTGTATGGAAGGTTGATAGGGTTTGTAGTTTGTCTGTATGTATGTTATATATGTGTGTGGTTGTTAGTGTTTGTAGTTTGTATGTATGTAATATATGTGCATGGTTGTTAGTGTTTGTAGTTTGTCTGTATGTATGTTATATATGTGCATGTGCGGATGATCACACTCTTGCTGAATACTGGGAGTGCTCGAGTATTGTTCTCAGCGAGACATGTCACAGAACAAACGTTACAGAACAAACTCAATGGAAACGAAAGTAGTGCGCAGATAAGCCCAACTATCAATTCACTGAAAAACAGTATTAAAACTAGCCAATGGCAGCTCAACATTAAAACTAACCAATGGCAGCTCAACATTGAAAACTAACCAATGACAGCTCAACGTTAAGACTAACCAATGACAGCTCAACATTGAAAACTGGCCAGTGACAGCTCAACATTGAAAACTGGCCAGTGAAATCTCAACATTAAAACTAACCAAAGGCAGCTCAACATTAGAACCAACCAATCTCAGCTCAGCACTAGAACATCACATTATAAGAAACAACCAATCAATTGTAGCCCAACAATAACACACGAGTGTGGGCTCGGTTAAACTACATAGGCCACGCGAATAAAACGAAGACAGGCGCGCATGACACACAGACAGATATAACATACCCCTTCTAATCGCTCGTGGTTCTGGTCTGCTATGGCTTTCTCACGATACTATAGGTGAAGAAAGAAGTTACAACTTAGGTGTGAGTTGTGAGTTGTGAGCGGTTTACAGCACAGTCGTGCATGTGGATAAGAAGGACTTGGCTCAATGGTGAATGCTCCGGCCATTTTGGATGAATATGGTCAGCTATACGATACATAGACGTTCTATAGGTACATCGCTTCGCAACAAAAGGATATGTGGCGAGATGCAGTTTGTATTGTCAGATATAAAACAAGAGACACCCAGTAAAAGGATCGATTATTCTCGGGTACGGTTCAAAGAACAAGAGACACAGTAAAAGGATCGAGTATTCTCAGCTACGGTTCAAAGAATCAACCATACCTCCCGTGTGTACAATGTACTGGTCGTATCGTGTGCACCTGGACCTAAATCCAGGACAACAATCAAGATTGTAGGTGACTCAGCCTTTTGAACTAAACCCAGTACAGCCATGAAGAATACAGGTCGAGACTCAGCTGCTTGTATAAAGCACATTGCATATATAAAGCACATTGCATATACCAGACATTCAACCAGACAGTACCTTCTGGAACTCCGCCTCGTCTATGGTCTCATATTCTTCGCCCAGAGAAGCAACGCTCTGCAGAATATGGCCATCCGACGTATCACTGGTCACCGAGTAGTTGGGTAGGTATTCCCATACGGACGTTCCATCGTTCTTCGGACTCCACTATAGGGACAATCGTAAGTAGGTAAGTTATAGGGACAATCATAAGTAGGTCAGTTATAGAGACGATCGTAGGTGGGTAAATTATAGAGACGATCATAAGTAGGTAAGTTATATGGACAATCATACGTACGTAAATTATAGAGACGATCGTAGGTGGGTAAGTTTTAGAGACAATCGTAGGTGGGTAAGTTATAGGGACAATCGTAAGTAGGTAAGTTATAGGGACAATCGTAGGTGAGTAAGTTATAGGGACAATCGTAAGTAGGTAAGTTATAGGGACAATCGTAGGTGGGTAAGCTATAGGGACAATCGTGGGTAGGTAAGTTATAGGGACAATCGTAGGTAAGTAAGTTATAGGGACAATCGTAGGTAGGTAAGTTATAGGGACAATCGTGGGTGGGTAAGTTATAAGGACAAGCGTAAGTAGGTAAGTTATAGGGACAATCGTAGGTGGGTAAGTTACAGGGACAAGCGTAAGTAGGTAAGTTATAGGGACAATCGTAGGTAGGTAAGTTATAGAGACAATCGTAGGTAGTGAGCAAGTTTCCCCATTGTAGAAACAATCCTAAGTAAAAGCTTCCGAGGTTTTATTATGTCGTCGATAGAACAGCACAAACAATTTTTTTGTTCGCAGTTCATTTGAGCGATATCGTACACTCGATAGACTCACTCTGTGGATATGAGACACATGATACAACGGTACAACATCAAGTACGAAGGTATTACACACATGGAACATATGCTATATACTGACAAGGCAAGCAACGACAGCACAATAATGTATATACACCATATATATAGATATATATGTGCAGTTTATTCGAACTATACCACGCACCTGATATACATCCTCCTTCATACCTGAGGGTCGCGCCGACAGACACACATCATTATTCTGCGGAAGTTGAGGTAAGGTGGAGTTAAGGCACCTGCTTCAACGGTGCAACTAGCAAGTACGTATATACAACACACATGCAACATATGCACTTCATTGGGACGACAATCGACGACTGTACAATGATATATATATATATACACATACACACACATATATATAGATATAGATACAGATATATATAGACAGGTGCCGATATATATAGACATATGAGGCCCATTCGAGCCATACCACACACCTGATAGACGTCCTCCTTCATGCCGAAGGGCAGCTCCGACAGACACACGGCCGTGTGCAGCGGGAAGTTGAGGTACGGCACCTGCTTCAACGGGACGTTCATGAAGTACGCGTAGATAGCTCGTAACGACGCCATATGCCCCACTATGATGATTGGGGCCACGGTCCTCTCTAGCTCAGTCACGAGCGGTCGCACACGCTCTACCACGTCTATGTACGATTCACCACTGTTGGGATAGCGATAGCGCAGTTTGTCTCGGGCTCGCGCCAGGAACTCCATAGGCAGCTGGTACGGGATAGATGGAGGGTATATGGGTGAGTGGGTATGTATGTATATATACATACATACATATGGGTGAGTAGGTATGTACGTTTACATACATACACACAAATGGGTGAGTGGGTACATACGTATACATAAAATACGTACACATACATCGATACATATATCCATACAAATACACACACACCCATCCCTTCAACCACATACAGAAGGGTCCTTCAACCTTCAGACGAAGCCTTCTCTTTCGTAAAGAAAAATAGGTTTCCAACAAAAAGCAAACGACAATATGCCCTTCACAGACGCCAAGTACACTATCGCCCCCATATTAAATACCGCCTCCTTCGTATCTTTCTTTTTTCGGTTCCCAAATGACCCTTTTCTCGTACCTAATTTACGAATAGTCCTATTTCTATAACTGAGATCGCCTATAAGGCAAACGCAAACGCAAACGCAAACGCAACCACAACCCAGCACAGAGCCCGACCCACGTTGTAATGCCGCGTAAGGGACAAAAACGGGACATTTGTGACCCAAAAACAAAAGGGTGTGTGTGTGTGTGTGTGCGCGTGTGCGTGGACCACACCTAACTGACGAAATACGGGGAAGCATAATAGGGCTAGAGGCAATAAATTCGCAGGCACGCCTGTTAGGGACATAATCCAATGCACCCATAATACGCCTGTATACACCTCGTGCAGCACACACAACCAGATATACACCCCCCACCCCACTTGCAGATATAATATATATGAAAATACATGCATGGTTGGTATAGTATATAAAACGAATAGCTGATTAATACAGAATATAAAATAAACTGCCTGGTTCGTAATATAAACTATAAATACCTGATTCACAATATATGAAAAACCTGGCATATAATATAAACCAGACAACCTGGTTCACAATACAAACCACAAAAAAACCCCCTGGTTCACAATACACACTATAAGACACCTGGTTCATAATCTGGCCGTATGTCATGCCCTCACACCGTCCGGCAAAGATCTCGTTCAACATGGCCGTCTGGTGGAAGTTGTACCCCGGTGGTAGGTAGGAGCTTGTCTCTACGGCCCTCTGCAGCCCAGACGTCCACACAACCACCTCATTCCGTTTGGGACTGGTACACGGCGTAAACGCCATAATTGGCGGGGCTTCGTCTGAGGCGAGGGTTAGGCTGCGATTCCGCCGACCGCTCGGGTGACCGTTTTCGTCGGGTTCGTCGGGTTCGTCGGACTGCTATGGAGTGAGTCAAAGAAAAGAAAGACCATTGGAGTGAGTGAGTGAGAGAAAGTAAAGACTATTGAAGTAGATGTGAGAGTATGAGAGTGAGAGAGAGAGTGTGAGATAGAGAGAAGAAGGGCCTTTGATTGGGGTGTAAATGTATGAGTGAGGGAGTGAGTGTGAGAGAAGGAGGGAGTTTGGTTGGTGTATGAATGCCTATAATAGGGGGCTTTGATCATCTAAGAGAATGGTAGGAATCGAGCACCACGTGTATCTTGTACATACTTCGTCTTTGTATAAGTATTGTGCTTTCGTGACTGTTCAGGTCAGATTTCTGAACACACAATATATCTACTCACAGATGAACGACTTCATACACCCTCTTTCAGTCTCCTGTGCAAGTGTAGGTACACACACACACATATATATACATACATACATACCTCCTCTTCCAGTCTCGCGTGTAGGTCTAAGAAAGACGGGGGCGTCTCTAGAGAGGGTGACATGCGCCTGTTCAACATGGGTGACCTGTGAGAACACACCACGACAAACAGTTCAATGAAATTAGAGATGATACGCTGGTATGGGCCGATATAGACAAACTAAAGGTGGGTTTAAGTACAACTACACCATAACACAATGAGGTTCGAGATAAAGCGCTGAGACAAGCGTACAAACGTACTATATTTCTTGTCAATACAATACTATGAGTATGGCATGAATGTATTATTAGCGCTGCACGTAAGGCATCGTTGCTATGGCAGTGCAACGATACTATGAATAGAATAGTGTGCCACTACTATGAGTGGTGTATATCTACTGTAGTAGGCTAATACTATGAATAGAATAGTGTCATTGCTATGAGTGGTGTATATCTACTGTAGTAGGCTGATACCATAAATAGAATAGTATGCTATTGCTATGAGTGGTGTATAACTACTGTAGTAAGCTGATACTATGAATAGAATAGTGTGCCATTGCTATGAGTGGTGTATATCTACTGTAGTAGGCTGATACTATGAATAGAATAGTGTGCCATTGCTATGAGTGGTGTATATCTACTGTAGTAGGCTGATACTATGAATAGAATAGTGTGCCATGACTATGAATGGTGCATATCTACTGTAGTGGGCTTGCTAAAACGAACGGCGTTCAACGGGACTTATAAGGAACACCGAGGAGATGAGCGACCCAAGGGCTTGGCCGAATACAAAGCTCACAGCTAACATCTGATGTGACATCAGATGTCAGCTGAGAGAATAACAAATAGCGTCTAACAGTGCACGCAAGTGCATCAGAACTCTGCATACGTACATACATACATACATGATAAATGCATACAACATTCATACATGATAAATGCATACATACATTCATACATGATAAATGCATACATACATTCATACATGAAAAATACATACATACATACATGATAAATACATACATACATGCTCATACCATAGCAGAAATACTCTCAAGATGCTGCAACATATAATAGCGGTTGAAAGGATGATTTGTATTCGCGCAATGGTGTCCCGAGAGGATAACCTTCCAATGTAGGAAGAACGACCTCGCACGACAAAAGCTATCTAAGATATATATATATATATATATATACATACATACATACCCATTGTGCGCGTAGGGTTGGTTACTTACCTTGGCGGCGACTCCGGTTGGCTGTTTCCCAGCTGTTCCTGGATAAACACTGAGAACGCGCGCCCATATTGTCTTCCCAGAGGACTGAGTTTTGTGTCTGTCACACGTGAAGGGGAATCAGACAACACAGGTGTAATTAGTACAGGTTTAATTAGCACAGGTGTAACTAAAACCGGTGTAATTAGCTCAGGTGTATTTAACACAGGTAAATGGTTCGAAGGGATAGGCAGAGTTCGAATCAACATAAGTGCACGGGACATCCTAAACCCTTAAACCGTACACACCCATACGGTGCCCTTGTATAGAGCTACTGTAGTAGACGGAGGGACATCGCATGCGTCTGGGTTCATTCGAGGCAATACGATGTCCATGCTCATGACATGAAAACCCCGGGCGAGTATATATATATATATAAAGAAGAAATGCACCGACAGCACAGAGTGATCACGTGTATATACATAGTAGGCGAATAGCACTTTTAAATTGCACGTATACATAGGTAAATAGCAATACAACTCGCACTCTCGCGATACGGCAAGTGCGGATTATGAGTACAGAATCCGCAAAGGGGAGACGAGCAAGTGCGTATGCAGTAAGACTTGCATATCAAATTCACATATATTGCATAGATGCATATACATACGTACATATATATATAGATACATACATACCTATACACATATGAACTTACCTCCTCCCACCCTGTACTGCATGTTGTACACGCTTTCGCCGTGTCGCGTGAGCCATATAGGGCGTTGCTGCAAGTGCATGTTCATGAGGAATGTGCACATGAGGCCCGGCAGGAACGACGAGATGTTCCGTGCCACTATCTTTCCTCCTACATTTATTACTAAAAAAGCAAACGATAGCACATGTGAGACTGCTGAAAAACTAGTACAATATAAGATGCATACGATACTGTACGCATCAACTATACAACAGGTACGTGTGTGTTGTTGAACGAGTACGCTTTCACGCAGCATAGGGTATCCGCCGACAGATAGAATGGGCGTACCACAGAATATACCGCTGAGCTTAGCATCTACAGAGAGAGTGCTACACTTTCTCACAGGCACATGGGAATGTATGAAACGTATTCACAGACATATAACTGTTCAACAGCCACCCCCCCCCGCAAACGTACGTTAGCAATAATCCACTCCTACACGCCTTGTCAAAACCTCATTCGCGTACACTGACAAGATTCTTGCACTCAATACTATATATACAGGTACATATGTATTTGAATCTATACACATACACATACATATGTATATGCATATGAATATATACACAAACAAACACACACACACACATTTATATATATATATATATCGTTACGCTATCCTTATTCTGCATTGCGTATGGATAGTGTCACTGATCTTATGTTGCTAACAAGCGAGTATATATAGCCAAGCAGATGGCCACACGCCCCACCTACGACATCCGTCATATCAAGTATCTCAAAGTACAGTGCAATGCTTTAATCCGTAAGAGATTAATGGCTGAAAGAACTGCATACATTGTGGATCCATACGCACAACCGCACTATACAGAACGTAATTATATATATCTATATATCTATATATATGCTTATTCACACACACACACACATATATATAACAAGTTGTCTACCTTTGATATAAGCGTAGTCGCCTTCTGTATCGGTGAGAGTCTCGTATGCTGACTCGTAATTCTTCAGTCGATTCTGTGGTAGAGTACAGCGCATATGAGCAGAGAATGGTGCAGTAGAGGAAGAAGCTGTGTCTCAATGGAATTTAGATGTGCCATGTGTGACATCCAATCAGAACTGACGGAAACATGTGATATGCACACCACCTCCCACGTGATATGGACTGTAAACACGCCAAAAGACGAAACAACAGAAATTGTCAAGCCTCTAAAAATCGAACCACTCTGAATCTAAAAATAGAACTACTCTGATTCGAAAAATAGACATACCATGAAATCGCTGCGTGCCCTGACGGGGTCCATGTCCTTATAATCGGGTGACTGTAACTTGAGATTTATGTTGTTTTGGAGGATCTGTGGGGACGGGTGTGGCCACGTGGCATGTGAGCATGGCATGGTACACACTTACAACGATTAGCATGATACGTACCTTGTGTTAGGGTTTCACGGTTTAGGTTACGTGAGCATGTCATGCGACGCACTTTATGTTGAGACCCGCGAGAATAGTGCATTCCACAAACAGATGTCTACACAGACGCGCATAGCGGTGGTCTCGGTCTGTACTGTGTTCCCTGTCACTAACAATCGGAAATGACAAAACCACACACACGCTTACAACAACGGATTCTCAACAAAATATGGACAGCCCCCCCCCACACTCTTACAACAACACATCGTGATTCTGTTGCTGGGAGAATACGCAGAAAGGCGCGAACATAGGGGCCAACAGTATGCGGGAAACCCAAATAAAAAACAAAAAAAACCCCAAATCATAAAACGTTCAACGCTTTCTATTCGGTAAAGCTTATTTTGCACTGCTGATTGGTTGTGTGTTGCTTACCAGAGGATCGTTGCAAATGGATTCGATGAAGATGACTTGCACATTCCCATTGGTCTTTGCCACATCGTACACTGTCCGCCTGAGAGATATACAACAAGAGACGGGACGATGAGCATTGAACAGGTGAAGACATACGACTATAAACAATTGCAATTCTATAAATAGACTATATGCAATTGTAATTCTATAAATAGGCAAAGTATATCCAATTGGAGGTCTATATGTAGACATCTATACTTGTTCGGTTTGAAAAGTATATATAATTTAAGAATTGTGGCTTTTTTAATGTGAGAAATATGTACAATTGAAGCTCTATAACAAGAACACACTCGATTGAATAGAATACATACAATTGAAGCTCTATAAATAGAATACATATGATTGAAGCTCCATAAATAGAATTCATACCTACGCTGGACATTGGAATTTGTTGCGTCGTGTATAGCTACCTGGCCATTTTCATTTTGCAGCCAATCGATGGCGTGATCCAAAACATCCAATGCCAGGCGGTCTCTCTCATCTTTGGCATTTTGATTATTCGGGTCGAAGAAATTGGCAGAGTGCGCCTCCTTCTGCTTCCTTTTGCGACGGAGGTTTCCGACATTGAACACCTCCGTGCCATACCCCATCCACCTGTGACCGCAGATGTAATTTACGACATTGAAAACAAATAAAACAGGTAGTAATATCGATCGCAAGCACATGCTATGTGTGAGTGCTTGATAGGTCAAAACGTAATGGGAGAACACCACCTGTTGCACGAGTACGGAACATGGGGGCCATAGCAAGAGGACTGAGCCTATGCAGCAGCAGCTTAGCTCTCACTTGCGTCCACTGGCAGGGCCAATGCTCCAGACAGAGACACCGGACAAGCACGCCAGGACTAAAGAACCCTAAACCCTAAAAGTCCGCAAGGGCACTTGGACCAGTGGGACTAGTGCGGAGTACACGCAAACCCAGTAGGACTAACAATGAGCAGTACAACAGCAAACCCTAAACTATATACCACAACACCCCCTGCAGTGAAGAAGCCGAGGGTGTTATAAAAAAACCCTTGAACCTTAAAAGTACGCAAGGACACTTGAACCAGTGAGATTAGTGCGGAGTACACTCAAACCCAGTAGGACTAATAGTGAGCAGTACAAACCCTAAACTTTATACCACAGGGGATTCTACAAAACCCTATACCCTAAAAAGTAAGTAAGGGTACTTTATTATAATCCCCCACAGTGCAGCTCACAGGGCCCATCAGTACATACCTTAGATATCGGGCCAACTTCTTGGAGATGAAACTCTTTCCGCGTGCGGGTAGGCCGCACATGAACACGACGACCTTCTTGTCACCGGACAGGCGCTGCATGTGTATGTCTGCGGAGAGACACACGGGGGTGAATGCATGTGATGTGGAATAGATATAGAAAATAGTAACAGTAATACTAACACTAAAGGTAATATAACACTGATAATAATATACTAATACTACCACTGATAGTATATAACACTAATAGAAATAGTAATACAAATACTGCTAGTAATAGTAATAGTATTAGTAATACTATAGCTCAGGAGCCGATAAAGAAACACTCGGGCATAGCCCCATCTATCATCCTCCATACGACCATGTGAGTTAACATCCAGAAATCACCGACTTCCAACCAGGATATTTCCAATACAAAGCTTTAGTGGCTATACATTATACTACGGTTGTATTCTTTCGCATAGAACACTCCTATTCAAGAGCCATTGAAAAGCAACACAGACACAGATAACCATCCCATATATATATATATATATATTAATCTACAAATGAAAAATTGTAATTAATAAACATCCTCCAAGACCCACTTCTTCATATATTTATGACTATGGATGTACATGTACATATATGGAGATAAATAAAACATGAACACCACATACACACCTAGCCCATACACACACACACATATATATACATATATAAATGTATATATATATATACATACATATATTATATATATATATATGTATATATATAAACGTATACCGTATGTGTTTGTATATATATATACATATATATATATATTTGTAATTGTCTGTAAGTATATTTGTATACATACATATATACCTTCATACAAACACACACACACACATATATAGATATGCATATATATTTGTAATTGTCTATAAGTATATATGTATACATACATACACACATTCATACACACACACACATATATATATTTATATATATATATATGAATCTATATTAATATATATATATATGGATATATAATACGAATCTATATAAATATATATATATATATATGCATATACACCCCGTAAGGCATTGTGTAGCAATATGTACAGTCGTATACAGAGATCAGCATGAACCAAGGCGCATATAGAATACATACAACATAGCATAAACAGATTTGAGCACAAGTTTACCATGTGATAAAGCACGGATGTTCACACATGCATGTACTAATATATGCAGACGTATGTAAATCAAAACACTATATATGGCCATCCACGTGATAACAGACACAACCTATAGGTCGATGCACATAGTATGTATGTAGAACGCCGTACAGCTTATCAGTACACTCAGAGTGACGGCGGATGCCATGTCACAATAACGTAATGCGACAGGTGCATGTATACATGCACACCCACACACTCAGATGTGCTGATACAAAAGCTATCCAACTAATATATACGACAAGGAGAAATAGTCTATGTACCCTCACTACGTACTACATCTTAACTATGTAGACACACAGCACTAACGCAATAAACATGCATTGCATGTATATGCACATGCACACCCACTCAGTTGGTCTTATAAAGAAATCTATCCAACTAATATATGCAGTATGGAGGGACAGTCGAAATGTTCATTGCGTAATGTGCTTTGCCTATGCAGACACATAACACTAACGCAATGAGGCACATGCATGTATATACACTTGCACACGCACCCACTCAGATGGTCTAACCAAGAAAGATATCCTACTACTACATGCGATAAGGAGAGGCAGTCTAAGTATCTTACTACGTACTATACCTTGCCTATGTAGACACATAACACTGCAACTCATCACAGACTCTAGACTAACTCACCTCCAAGCAGATCCACAGCCACCAACCCTAAACAGCTCTTGGATAATTGACATGCACAACACATCACATCACATATCTGAGATCACAACTCTATACGATCACCTATCTAGCTATGTAATGCACACACACGTAACTAATCAACATGCACGCACCATAATATATATCTACCATCCCAACTTCCTATAACTGGCTATCTAACTACCCCCTAGTCTCCACACCTTGCTTGATCGCCGTAAGCGTGTCATGCAGCTGCTTCTCACTCTTCTTCTTATCCTCATCCGTAAGCTTCTTCAGCTCAAGCGTGGGTGTGCGTATCATGCCCATATTCCGGTTGGCAAAGCGACCACTGCCCCGTACATTCATATCACTCAGCTTCCCCTCCGAGCTCGACGTTGGGAAGGTCTTAGTGGGGCTTGGATTCCCACTACTCCTATTACTATCTTTGTCTTTATCTCCATGTGTATGCATCATGCCATCGCTGGAAAAGCTACTGATGCTATGCGGTTGCATACATTCCATTGATACACTAGACGAGAGAGGATAAGTTCTTTGTCCCATACTGCCGTCACGTTTGCCCATGGGCGGGGAGTGTCTCTGCTGATCGTACATCAGGGCCGGCATGGATACTTGCGATTTCACGCGAGTATTAGTAGGCCGGGTATTAGACGTCGATGTAACCGTCTCTGCCGCACTGCGACTACCCTTAACCTCCTCATCCTCATCAGAAGTGTCGGCCAATTCAGCGCTGATGACGGGCACTATACGCTTATTCCAGGTTGGTGAGGTGTTTCGATTAGGTGATAGTACTAACTCCTCATCTTCCCGAATGACTGGGGAGGAATGGACGAAGGTGCTGGTGTATTGCCCGGTTCCCTTATTGGACATGTCGGTGTCGTTGTAGTGTGATAGAGGTACACTACTAGTAGTGGTATAGACGAATGGACCACAAACACAAGGGTGAAGGGGTGTATATTGATTGTCACCAGTGTTAAGGAGATACACGATAGAATAGCTACTCACAAACAGGACTAATAACGGCGATACTATGTCTTCGCACAATGGTATTTTGTTTAAATAATTTTCTACTAATAATAGTATCGTATCTACGCACAAGGATATATATATTATTCACGAGAGTTAAAAGCATGTATTTACTAATGAATAACACAAGTTTATGTGGCTGATTCGAATCGTTCCGTGCTGGCTAATGTTAATTCCATCATGAACATTTGTTCTCATTATAAATAGTCATAATTTAGTACAACTCCTTCCGAAATAGGTTTGGTTATTGGAGTCAAGCACTCCCAGGATGAAGGCTATTTAAATAAAAAGTATAAATAAGCATATATAAATAACCTTGTTCCGTTTTTAAAAAAGGGGTCCAAATTGTCAGTTAAACGTAAACGCGTATCTAGTTGTTGGACGGTTTAGTAGGGGGTCAAAAGACTGAGAATATTGCACCTATTGTTCACTTTGCTCGGTCTTTCTCTATTGACTATTAAAATTAATATAACCTAAGGGCTCTGGTAGTGCACCTATACTTCTTATTTTAGGACCAAAACGATTTAAACGTGAAACGTAACGTATATTTGTTCAAGTCTATACGTTCTAACGCAAAAAGGTTAGGATGAAAGAGTGAGGACTCGAGGTGGGAATAGAAAACCTTATTTTGCCACAGATTTTTCCTATCGATATGCGATCGCGGATCCCGAAATTCGCAAACCAACCCAATTTGTTTTTGTTTTGTTTGTTTTCTTTTAAAAATAAAAATAAAACCAAAAAAAACACTAAATAATTTTGAAGACACCTTGTCTGGGGCTCTGGGCGACTGGGTCACTAAAACTGGGGCCTGAAGGTCTGAACCCTGGGCCTATGAGGCTCTGAGTCTGAGCCTTTGAAGTCTTGTGGGGAGCGGCGCCCTTAAGTCCTGGCATTGGATTTGAGCAAGTTTAAAAATAGGGATATGATCATATGATGGAGTGTGCTCCTGTGTCAATTGCGAATACGGACTTCCAGCGCATTATTTTTCGTAATCACAACTCACACACATATACACAGCTATACACACAAAGTCACACACACACCCACACGTACACACAGGGCCCCTGGCCCCAGGCCCAGGGCCTAGGCCAGGAGGGCGGGCCACTGGGCCATAGAAGAGAGAGAAAGTGAAGAGAAAAGATGAAAAGGAGAAAAAAATTCTTCTGACATGACAGTGACACTTTTGTACAATTTAGGAGGCTTTAGGAGGCTACATATGCTTTTTTTATAGTATTTTTGGAGGGTTAACTCCCCTCCCCCTTTTGACCGGCGAAGAAACAAAAGTCAAAAATTGGACGCGCAACATTGGAACATTTGCTTATTGTCTCACCAACGTCTCACCTTCAACAGTGATCAGACATCGCACATCAGAGAAAAGCATTCCCTTTTTTGAAAAAATAATTATTTTCATCTCATCAAACTCAAAGCCTTCAGAGTTCTCATCAGTTCTTCCGACTTCAGAGTTCTCATCAGTTCTTCCGACTTCAGAGGACCGTAATTATATATTTACTCAAATTTTTATTAGCGTGGCGTCTGGTGAAATATGAATTGTTGTATTTATCCCAGTAGTGCTCCAGTGATCACACGCTTGAAGTAAATAGTAAATATTATGATTATCCCTATTGTGTTGTTCTAATTTAAAATAAATAAAAATACGGAGGCATTTATATATATATTAGAAACAAATGTTATATAATGTGTTTTATAATAAATAAATATATGTGATAGCAGTCCACACTCCACACTCCACAGTCCACACAGCTGTATTTTGAGATGCAATTCTGCCTGTCTGCCTTTTATACCGCAGTTGACTATTTTTTTTTACTTTTGCAGATTACTTTTCGGACTGATCCCTGAACTTCTGAAGACGTACATTGCACGCTAACAGAATCCAGGCGAATTATGTAACTTTTTAAAATAATAATAAAGATAATATGGATTCAAGCTTCCCTTTTCAGTTGAATTTGGGAGGGATAGTATAGTGTTAGGACGAAGACACCTGCTGTAAACGTAGCGGCGCTTATATCGGGGAAACTACCTTTTTCAAAGTTGCATATTGTAACAATCTCTTTCAATCAAATAGCAGTTACGAACAAATCTTATCGTAGAGTATGGACTGACTGTGATGTATAATTTCAGAGGCAGATATAGTATACCTTCCAAACACCACAAATTATTACAACTTTCATACTTCAGCTGACTACAGTCATTACACCCGTATAATATCATGTGATTAAAAGAGCATACTTGCAACTAACCAAGGCTAGCATTGCAATACAGCATATAACCAATAGAACCCAGGCGAACTATGTAATTTTATAACGAAGACTCGTCAATCGTGTCTTCATACTTGCAATTGGAAAGGATGTATGTAATAAAGGTAGGAGTGCTTTATAGACTTGTAAAGAAACTTACAACTTGCAACCCTTTCAGCGGACTTACAACTTGCAACCCTTTTCAGCGGACTTACAACTTGCAACCCTTTTCAGCAGCGCTTCTTTTGGAGCCTGCTCGACAGTTTCTGACCTCAAATGCTCCACGAGCGCATCACACACCTCCACGAGCGCATCACACACCTCCACGAGCGCATCACACACCTCCACGCAGACGCAGTACGAGATGGATTATAGCACCTTCTTTTATCTGACATCCGGCGATGGTGTGATTGTCTTCCAACTGTATCCCGGCATAGATAAGTCGCATGTGGTGCTCGGGTGTTGTAATCTTCTGCTTAAGCTTTGTCTTTACGATATCGATTGTGTCCCGTGGAGTCACTTGCAGCACTACAGTCTTGCCCATCACCGTTTTGACGATGACATGCATTGGGCAGTTGGCGTCTGTGCACATACGGCACAGGCATAAGTAAGAGTAGGCAAGTACAACGGGCGGGTGATACCAATAAATAGATGGATAAAATTCTTGTTTTAAAAAGGGATAAAATGCACAGGTGAGAGTAGACATAGGTGGAAGTAGGAAAATTTAGCGGCCGAGAGATATATTAATAAATAGACGGTTAAAATGCATTGGACAGTTAGTATCTTACACAGGGACAATAGGTGGAAGTGAGTGAGTGCATATCGCCCTACCGAGAGATGTATTTATAGCTACTCAGAATTTGCATGGCACGTTCAGTATAGATTTCGTACGATTAACTCACTACACGAGAAACTGACTGTAAGAGTATTCACAAATACACAGGTATAGTTCTCCGGCGCTACAACAGATCTGATGTAAAAGACATTCATGCACCGCTTACCGTTACCACCACGCAGCCGCAGGACCAGGTGTACAGTCGCTTTGTCTTGGATATTATAATCCCAAAGGGTTCGGTCGTTTTCCAATTGCTTTCCACTGTAGATGAGGCGTTGCTGGTCGAAGGGAATGCCCTCCTTCTCGTGAACTTTTGCTTTTATGTTGACAATGGTGTCCACAGGCTCCACTACCAGACATGTGGTCTTGCCGGTAATCGTCTTTATAAACAATTGCATGGTGACTAGTTGGTTGTTCGTAGTATGTGTGTCTGTGTCAATTGCAGCACCTTGACCTCGTCGGTAATGAAATGGGATATAAAGTGGATGGTACATCATATTTAAGCTATGGCCAGTTCGTATTTCAATGGTACAGCCAGGACATTTTTTAAGCTTGTTAGCAGGTGAATATCATGGCCGTATTGCTGGTTGAACAAAATACAATGCGGATTATCATGGGCTGTGATTGTCCTAAGTTTCGGGACATTTGTCAGTGTGAAATCTTCTATTTCCCACATGTTCGCAATATCGTGTGTGGCAGATAAGGATCAGGGCAATCGTGTGGTTCTTTGACAGTATTTGAATGACATCTCTAGGCAGAAGGAATCGACACCGAATTCAAAGACTCGTGGATGGTATCTATGAACGCCCCAAGTCTTGTATCGTTCCCATCCGTAATGATATCATAGATATGTATTTACATATATGTACACATGCATAAAATAATACACGACCTTCTCTCTATAGATGAGAGAGATGAAAGTTCAAAATAATTATTTATGGCTGATCCAGCTGATCGGACTATAATAAAACGTCCGAAGGAGGCCGTGAAAATACTCAAAGTTAATTGTAAATAGAGCTTCTCCTGATATGGGAAAAAGCCCATATAAATACCCCTCGAATTATTATATTCATGTGATTGGATAGTCTCATCATAGAATTCATGTATTTATTTATATGTAGTAGTGTAAACTGTAGTGTTGGTAAATACATATAGCTCACTACTACTCTTGTCTACCACTCCTACTAGCGAGCTGTTTATGGTATTGTTTAGTAACACCTTCATTACACAGGCAACGGATAGATAGTCGCACACTTGCCAACCGCTTCGTGCCTACTTAGGACCGTTCGTCATTCAGTTTCGTTGTAAATGAACCGGTTTCAGTGTGACCATTGAATTTTAATACAAGCCGTATATAACGTGCGTACTTCTTAAAAGTATAGTTGTCTTCATATACACGTAACCTATAACACAGATCTGACGCCATGTCGCTCGATAGGCTTAAGGTGGCTAATGTAGAGTCCCTACCCGAATTACAAGATCTGTTTGCACCCTCGCCGTCGCCCGTACTGCCAGCCGCAAGTGGTAAGCGCGACGCTCGCGCGCTCACCAAATTAGTTACGTTAGACTGTGATAACGTAACAGCAGATGGGAATAGTACAAGTACCACTACAACTACGAACCGCCTGGGTGAAGATGGGGTTGATAGTTCTATTATCAACCAAGGAGAGACCACTACCAGTACCCATGCGGATACCAATGAGAACAGTAGGTGCAGTATAGATATTACAGAACATAACGGAGTCGAGAGTGACAAGTCGAACTCGGAGATCATTAGTATACTAACCGGTGGTGTAGGGTTAACCTCTACACTTGCTGTTAATGCTGGCGAGGTGTTAAGTGAGGAAGCAAAGAGAAGAGAATCAGGGAACGGCAGACTCAAATACCCTACGTCGCCGTCTGTGTGGACGCAAAGCGACTATGAACTAGGTTAGTAATATATCTTTATATATATATATATATATATATATATATATGTATATGTATATGTATATGTATATGTATATGTATATGTATATGTATATGTATATGTATATGAATATGTATATGTATATGTATAT